AGTTATAGAGCTGGAATGAATTCATAAGAGAATTTCGCGTAGTGTCCTATGAATTACTCCATCACCTGATCACCGTTTTTCTTTCCAAGCACTCGCTCCAATTCACTCTGTGGTACAGCCTGCAGGTCACTGCACCTATCCATCATACCTGACAATACTTCACATATAAACAAACCTGAGTGGTAAAATGCACTGACTTCATACGAGACCATTGCTTTTCTAAGCCCCACTGCATTTTAAGTTGCCCGAACCGGAAGAAGGCAGCGCTGTGGGTAGAGAGCGCCAAGCCGTACCTCAACCTTTAAACCAATCTTCGTCAAAAAGTCGTCCGAACGTCGACCGTTTACCTTATATGAAAGGCATGTAAAGAAATGTATAGGAAGATGACGGTCGGCTTTCATGAGGCTCGCAGCACTCACTGCATTGGCCATATGCGAATTCTGAACACCTTGACGACTAGGAATGAAAATTGAATGCACGTCGTATTCCCGATAATCTCCGTTTTCTCCAAAGCCATGATTAACGCGCGAATTTGACTTTCTTTCTCAACCTACTTCTCCAAGTCACCACTGCTGAACCAGCACAAAGTTGATCGACGACGGAACAAAAAGCTCCGCTCATATATCCCCGACGCGGCCCCTCGGGATATGGAGAGATTCAAGTTCCAGCCTCTTGGAGGACATCGTTCCCAGGAGACTTTCCAGTTTTTATTTCGGTTCCTGCTTGACCCTCTCCATTTGCTGAACATGTATCTACCTCCGACCAATGCACTTCACGTTACCAACCCTCTTGCATTGGAGAATACCAAACGTACGGCCGGTCCTGTTCCCACTGTAACCTTTCTAACTATGCCATCAATCACTTTCTGAAGCGTTTTTTTTTCGAGAATGCTGATCTTCAAAACCCCTCTGGCAAGATGTTTCATCTAAAGCAATAGATATTTTATGAAAGCTCCATTACCAAGTATTATGAAAAATTCAGAAGAAACTCTGTGTCATACCAAACTCATTGATTAGCTTCTCATAGGTGTGGTATCCTAGTCCAGGCAAGTTTTTGACCTGCAATCAGGAAACTCCATCCGTATTATGAACTTAAAAAAGATTCGGAAAATTACCTTTTCGTTCGCAATGAAGGTGGAGGCATCACTGGCCGGTACGTAACGCACACCATCTGGTTTTGCATAGCGCGTCGCAAGTCGAGCTATCAGAGTGCTTCTTCCTACAACCATAGCCTTTTGAAAAAAAAATCAAAACATGGCTCTGAGGCAACTATGCATACGTGAGGTAAGACCGACAATTTCCGGGCCCTTCAAGATCAGATGAAGAGTGTAAATGAACTCAGTGCAACAGAAGAGAGGGGTTCATTCATGGAAACACCTACCTTCTAGGGAGACAACCGGCTCCACCGTGATACCTCCGTTCATAATTCGGGAGCGTGCCAGGTTATGGAACCACTGAACAGCCGAGACCCTTCAGACAGGGTGAGGGGACTTCCAGTGGATGATCTCACGGTCCGTGTACTTAGCAGTTATTTCAGCCGTCACTCGGTGACTCAGAGGGAAAAGCTAGCGTTTTTGAGAGCACGGGAAGATTACTAAAAAGTTCGAAAAAAGTATACTAAAAGGTTAAGTCGAAATCAGATGGGTAAATATCCGTAACGTTTTGCCAGACCTGCTAGGCTTGAAAAGCGACGCTGGTGCAGCATTTAACAGCCTCTACGGTCATTACCACGTTTCATCACACATTTACACGACGCAGTTCCTGCGGGGCCACTCCGTTAGAGCGAGTGAGGCTTTTGTAGCATTCAGGAAGGATGTTGCTTACCATACCACAGTAACTCGTTGATAGTAGCGCGCGGAGGCTCGAGATTTCCACTCGATGGTGGGCAACATTTTGGCCAGTCAGAGGAGAGGAATGATGACCACTTGGTCAACACTACATGTGCAGACGAGCGCTACCACCCTTGAGTTGACAGGAGCTTTGGACTGCACCTATTGGACAGCTGACAAGTCTCTTCACGGCTTCTCTTTTAGGAAACATTGCCGCGCTGGATGGCACACGAATGATTTCAGTCCGACAAGGAGTGCTGAATGTTTGTGGATGTCCCTTGTTCTTCGAGCACGTTGGAAGGACTTTGCTGCAGGCACTGCGGATTGCATCGATAGTTATTTAGGTGCCATTCCTGAACCACGCACACAAGCTCCACAGGATCCCTTCATAGGAAAACTGATTTCGTAGCCGAAAACAGCTGTTCGAAAACAGTTTCCCCAGTGTTATTAGTGGGCTTCGAAGGAATACTGCTGAGAAATGGTAAAGCAGTGAGGATCAGAGTCTAATTTAATAAACTCCAGAAGATGACAGATGTCAGCCTTGAAATTCGTTCGGAGGACCAGAATCCGCAGTGCCTGCGGATGCAAAGTCCTTCCAACGTGCTCGAAGAACGAGGGACAGCCACAAACATTCAGCACTCCTTGTCGGACTGAATTCATTCGTGTGCTATCCAGATCCATCGAATGATAATGAATCTTGGTAAGAAAGTGTTATTGCTCCCAGCACGCACACTGGACCCGAATGTTCCTGAGCCACCTGGTTCGTAACAGGTCATCGATTCGACACAGGATAGACCTCTTGTTCTCGTGTTCATTGCCGGATTTCTTGAACAGTACGACAGGGAAGCTGCTCAACAGATGGTTAGGAATCCCAGACACTAATTATGATTGCCTTGCTGATTGAAAGCCATGCCCATTGTCAGTGAAGAGAAGCAGGTCTGGAACTTCGTTAAGTGCTGCAGGATATCCTTTCCAGACGGATGAATACCATATGAACCATGCTTTTTGCGAGAAAGCCGGAACCCCCAGGATTGAGAAGCAAGTGAGCGACTCTATATACGAAAAGGGATAAGCGTTCGTACCTAACACCTTTGTGAAAGCATTAAAAAACGACAAATTCATGATATCATGTACCTATGCCAACTGAAGCTGGACAGCCGGTTTCACGTCTCACTTCGGCCCGGAGATGCTCAGCAAATGCAACCGGATCAGCAATTTGCAGCTGAAATATTCTAAAACTGATTTGGTGTTTGAAGAAAATATAATCCAGAAATATATACAATATGGCTCCATTAAAATTTAGGTCGAGGTTCAGCAAGGCAGTACAGCACGCTGCAAAGGACACAACACTGTCTCGACCCCCACCTTCTCGAATCGACATCCTAACTAAAGTCAGTTGAAGCGAAAGTCCTCCTGACACCGCACATACAGACACGCTTTAGATTTTTCAACTTCCAAAGATTTACTGGTTGAGATTTTTTTATGGAACTCTCAGGAAGATTCTATCAAAGCCGACTTCTCTTCCTGTATTATCTTTCGCACTTTGGTTATCACTTTGGTTATTATACGTCCCAGTTGGTTTAACGGTTCAGCTTGGAAGTCGCACTACCTTCAACAGATGTGGCAGGCCAGTGAACTCCGACTGGTAATACTTCAACGTTTCGGAAAACATACCTCGTCAAACAGTTTTGTGCAGTCAACATACATCTCATCACATGAGACAGCTCTAATTTCTAGCGTGTACCTGAATAAAAAAACTAGATGAAGGTCTTGTTCTAATAGTAAGAGGCGAATATCACTGAGAATAATCCGAAAGTAGATGCTGAGGAAAAAAATGTGTGAACTTTCGACTTCTTCTCATAAAAACACCTGTGTCGGGTCTAAACAATCGGCACGTTCTCAGTCATCATTCCTGCAAAGGATAGGGCACATTAAAGGGCGTGAACTGGAGCGCAGCCCTTTCCGAAAATGTTGCCATCCTCAGTCATAACTGCTGGGGAAGGGTGCCCCAGCTGCACTCCAATTCACGCCACTTCACAAGCCCTATCGCTTGCCAGATTCACGACTGTATGGGCCTCAATTTGCTCGAACTAACCGTGCAACTATTGTGTAGATAGCTTTGGAGATAGAACGATATTCGTCAAAAAGGTATGGCAGGCAAATCAGATTCGGGCAGAGTTTCAAAGCATCGCGTACGATCATCCCATTGCGTAAACCACAGTCACGAGCAGCGTAGCTCACGGAGGCTAATTCCGAGAAACCCGCCGAAACGCCCTGAGGAATGCATGTTCAACAAAAGTTCGAACTGTGACGAAACTTTAAGTAGTTACTTCAAAAAAGTAGCACACTCGCTCTGAACCGAGTGAAGATCAAATTATTTCTTTCTGAAGTGCAACACCGAGCCTTCTACCCTCCAGTGACGGTAAATTGTGGACCCGGGTGGCCAGGGGATGTAGCAAACGTATATAGCAGAGGTCTGCTTTCCTCTGTGCGTCCTACACTTACAGTACAAATGTGTTTTAGAAGCTTACATGAAGGAGGGGCAACGTAATCAAAGCAGGTCAAGGAACTCCGAGAGGAAGCTTCACAGAAAGATGAAGGATAAAAAAGGATAGTCTTTTTTATGACCAATCAATTTGTGGGATGCGGTACGCATTCCAATCAAAATTATAGTGACTTGTTGAATGCAAGGTCGCCTATACAAGGACTTGCGAGGGCAAGCCGGTGTAGAAGCCAGTGTTAGTGAGGCGGACGTAGCGTAGCGACAAGGTGACAAGTGGCGCGCCTAACATGCGGTCCTGGGTTCAAATCCCGGGTCGATTCCGCCTCGGCCAACCAAGCTTTCTATCCTCCAGTGACGGTAAATTGGTACCAGATTCGTTTGGGAGGATGAGAACATCGACTTACAGAAAAATAGGGCCAGAAAAGAACGCACTTAATTATTCCACTATTCCACAGAGGTGTACAATGTTTGGGATGATGATTACGGCTCGCAGACTGGATGGCGTGTAAGAAACAGAATATGGATAGGTGGATGTGCAAACCTGGCGGAAACAAGCACTTCTATAAACGACAGTGGCAATGATTCTTTATTGCCAGGCAGATGTCCCGGCAATGAAGAATCCCGTGAAAAGAGGACCCCTGTCCCAGTCTCAGCAGGTCAATAGAGCACAGAAGTATGGCAAAGTCGCTAGTATGGACACGGTCCGATAATCGTGCTGAGCAATCAGTCTATAATGCATAACGGTGTGAGGTGACGAGGCGGTGCTAGGAGGCGTGGAATGAGCTCATCGACAGCTCTATATTCTACCAATAGCCGGTGCGAGCGGGCAACTTGGTAAAAACGCTGCAGTTCTTTTCATAACTGAGCAATTCAACTGCTACAAACTGAAAATGAGTTCAAAGACCTTGCTATGAGTAATTGCTACAGGCTTGCCAACCAAATCCGGTCGATCTCTTAAGGCCACAGAAACGAAGAAACAATCCAAATCGATGTGAAAAATCACTCTTGATGTCCACCTGTAAATAAGATAGTACCCATCTAAAGCATATGTAGTCCCCTGTCAAGTCACTGCATAGGATAAACACCGAAACTTACGCCACATAATTTTTAGAGGTTAAATATTTCAGGTCAGCACGACCAGAGAAAGTGGGAGAGCTGCTTTCACGCATCGTGTTCACCCAATCCTTCATTTCTTGTGCTAGTGTCGAAATCAGATGGAGGCGCGATCTGCAAAGAGCCAAAAATTAAGTCTTCTTGCACTTTTGATAGTGCTGCGCTTCTGGCCCTGTGAGGTATAAGTGACACGCCAAAAATCTCGCTGAGACTCAAGCGTGTGGTTTTGCTCCAAAAGGAATGATCGACAACGACCAAATTGTAATCTATCGTCAAACATTCTCCCAAATGGAATGCAGCCATGTACATATTCCGGATCATCACCTTGCATAGAACTCCTCCAAAAACTTCGGGTCGCGTGCATCGAGAATAGGGGCCGATGCCCTTGTTTCTGTAATATAGCCGATTAATGAACCATGAAACTTCTTCAGAGTTTATTTGAATATGAACCATTTCAACCTTCGAAACACTTGTCTATACCCAATAAAAATCCTGCCTCGAGTTGGACATTTTGATGAGATATTTATCATCAGTGGTATTTCGGTCATACGGACTCCATCCTATTTTCCGAATATTCAAAACGCTCATTCCAAGAGGGGCATCAGTATTATTGGAACTTTACTTTTTTCTTCTCAGAGGGCTTCTAGATTGGTCCTTCAAAGACAGCCCCCGCCCAAGTAGTCCATGGTCGTCCTTCCTTGTGCCACAGGCGCGGGTGCCAAAACACCCTAAATCACCAAAATCGATTAAAACTTGTATACGGGGTTATTTGACATCCTGACTACGAATATGACATTTATTCTTGGCGCCGGCGTTAATGTACGACACTATGGTCATCTGCGCTTTGCTAAGACTGAGCCTGGCCTGAGAGGAATCTTCCCTTTTCCCAGTTTCAGCCTCAGCAGAGAAAATAGCGCTGGTATGGAGAAATGATGTCATACTCGTGGTGAAGACCGGACATCATCTATAGACAAAGTTCCTGCAAAAATTTTTTGAGTTCTTGGGTAGGAATAGTTCAATAGTGCCTAGTTCTCTTTATTGTCATTTTCTTCATCCCTTTTGCGCTTCTTTTCGTTTCTACCCTCGTGACGGGGGGGGGGGTCGTATTTAGCGGAAAATGATCACAACGCGATGGCGTGCCCTGGTATCGGG